CTGGAACAATTGGATAGCCATATGTGCCAAAAAAAAAAATTTAAAAACCCTCAACCCTTTCCTCATAATATATAAAAATTAACCCCAAATGGATCATAGACCTAAAGGTAAGGGCTAAAAGCCATTAAAATTCTAAAAGAAAACAGGATATTTTAGTGACCTTGGGTTTGGAAAGTATTTCTTAAATGGGACACAAAAGGTGCAAAAGGCACTGCTTGAAAATGAAAAGAGAAGCTAAGGATTGAGAGAAAATATTTATGAAATGTATTTGACAAAGTACTTGTTGTAGGACAGATAAAGTGGACCTTAAAACTCAATAACAGTAAGACAGGCCAATTCAAAAATGGGTAAAGGATTTGATAGATACCTTACCAAAGAATATATGGATGTCAAATTAGCTCCCAAAAAGATGTTTACCACCATTGTTCATTAGAGAAATGCAAATTAAAACCAAATGAGATACTCCTGCACATGCACTAGAATGTCTAAAATTAAAAAGACTAACTATACCGAGTGTTGACATGGATGTGAAGCAGCTGAAACTCCTATAGACGGCTGGCGGCAATGTAACATGGAACAACCACTTTGGAAAACAGTTTGACAATTTCTTTTTTAAAAATTGCACATATACCTATCATACAACCCAGCCATTTCCGTCTTAGATATTTACCAAGAGAAAGGAAAGCATACATCTACATAGAAACTTACCTAAGTGTTTTAGCAGCTTAAATGTAATAGCCAAAACCTGAAAACAATGTAAATGTCTATCAACAAATGAATGCATAAATAATTATTGTATATCAATACTTTGGAATACTACAAAAATAAAGAAGAACAATTATTGATGCATGAAACAACATGGATGAATCTCAAAGTAATTATACTAAGTGACAGAAGTCAGTCAAAAAAGAATACATACCACATGATTTCATTTATAAAAAATAATTGGAAATACAATATAAATAACAAAAATAGATCAGTGGTTGCATTAGCAAGGTGGGTAGAAGAGTTATATTATAAAACAGCAAGAGGAAACTTTTGGGTATGACGGTTACGTTCATTATTTTGATTGTAGCCATGGTTTCATGGGTAATAAATATATATGTCAGCACCGCACTCTCCCGAGTGAGCCAACGGGCCAGCCCAATAAATATATATGTCAAGAAACATCAAAATTGTACACTCCAAACATTGCAGCTTATTGTATTTAATTATATCTCAATAAAGTTTCAGAAATTTAAATCTGTACCTAGATATGTCATAGTCAAACTTAATAACACTAGATTTAAAGAAATCATAAAAGCAGCTCCAAAGAAAAAGGTAAATCATACAGGATGGCAGTTAGAATTGCAGCTGACTTCTCAGGTAGCAACAGTGATTACCAGAAGACAGTGAAATAATATCTTCAAAGTGCTGAGAATTCAATACACGGAGAAACTGTATTTCAAGAAGAAGATGAAATACATTTCCAGGCAAACAAAATAGATTTTACTAACAACAGACCCTTACTGGGAAAATTCTAGAGTGCACTTCAAGTAGAAAGAAAGTGATTCCAGAAGGAAGGTTTACGATACAAGAAGTGATGAATAAAGAAAATGGCAAAGTGTGTATAAATCTAAATAAACATTGACTATAAAAATTAAAAACCATTTGTGGGGGTTAAAAAAATAAGGTAGGGCCGGCCCGGTGGCGCACTGCTACAGTGTGCCGCTTGGGAGCGTGGCGGTGCTCCCGCTGAGGGTTCGGATCCCACATACAGACCGGTTCCCGCTCACTGGCTGAGCGAGGTGCGGGCGCAGCACCGAGGTTTGCGATCCCATTGCTGGTCCTGGTCCGGTACGGGCGCGACACTGAGGGTTGCGATCCGTTGCTGGACACCAAAAAAGGAAAAAAAAAAAGAAAAGAAAAGAAAAGAAAAAATAAGGTAGAACTACGATATATTACAGTAATAGCACAGGAAGGGATGATAGGATTAAATATACAACAAGTTTTTTTTTAATGTTATAGGGACATAGAAAGGATAAAAAAAGATGTACAAGCAAATAGCAAATGAAATTGATGAGGCGTAATATAAATTCATGAAGCTATGTTAGTATAATACAAGTAGACATTAGGGAAGAAAGCATTGATAGAGATAGGATCATTATCTATTGCAAGAATATTGTATTTACTAGGAAAATGTGATAATTCTAAACTTGAATGAAGTTTGATTCAAAATACGTAAAGGAAAAACTTACAGTACTATTATGCAAAGAGAGTGGACAAATCCATCATAATAATTGGAGTCATTAAAACATTTCTTTGAATAACTGTTAGATCAAAAAGACAAATCAATAAGCACATATATGAGTTGAACAATATATTTATCATGATTGATTTAATGAATATGTATATACATCCAGCACCTAGAGAAGTCCCATTCTTTTCAAGCACAAATAGAACATTTATGAAAACTGATCAGTCTTAACAGATTTTAAAGATTGACATCAAATACCATATTTTCTGATGGCGACAAAATTAAATTCAAAGTCAATTTTGGAAATATAACTAAAAATCTCATGTATTTGCAAATTGAAAAACACATTTCCAAATAACCTGTGAATAAAAATATATTATCAGAAAATACTTAGAAATGAATGATAGCAAAACTCTAAAAACTTTTAGATACATTTAAAGTTGTACTTGGAGGAAAATTTATAGCCTTACGTGCTTTTTAAAAAATTTTTGTCCAGACATAGACACACTGGATTACATGCTTACTTAAGAAAGAAGAAAGATGAAAATAAATAAGCTAGGCATTCTTCTTAAAAAGTTAGAAAAGTAATGACAAAGTAAATCTAAAGAAATTAAAAGGAAGGGAATAATACCCTGAAGATAACAAAATTGAAAACAAAGTTAACAGAGAAGATTTGTTGAGCCAAAAGTTGTTTCCTTGAAAGAACTAATAAAATGAAAAACTATTGGCCGGCCCGGTGGCGCACTGCGCTGGTGCGCTGCTTGGGAAGTGCGGAGGCGCTCCCGCCGAGGGTTCGGATCCCACATACAGACCGGTTCCCGCTCACTGGCTGAGCGAGGCGCGGGGGCAACACCGAGGGTTGTGATCCCGTTGCCGGTCCCCGGTCCGGTACGGGGGTGACACTGAGGGTTGCAATCCGTTGCCGGACACGGAAAAAGACAAAAAAAAAAAAAAAATGAAAAACTATTGACCAGATTTAGCAAGAGAAAAAAGACACATATACATAATATTAAAAATGAAAAAGGAGGCATACTTTAAAATGCAATAGGGATAAAACATAAAATGAGAAAAGAATACCAATAAGTTGCTGGCAATAAATTTGAAAACTTAATTAAAATGGGCAAATCTTTAGAAAAATATCACTTATTCAAGAATAAATAGAAAACCAAATGTCTTTAACCATTAAATAGATGCAGTTAAAAAAAATTCTCCACACAGAAAACACTAGGTTGAGATAATTCTACAGAGGATTTTTGCCAAACATTTAAAGAACAGATAATTCCAAGCTTAACACAAACTCTTTCAGAGAAAAGAAAAATAATTCCTTAATTTATTCATTTGAAAAGGCCAGTGAGGTGGGCTGATTATCTCAGTTGATTAGAGTACGGTGCTAACACCAAGGTTCAGGGTTTAATCCCTATATTGGCCAGCCACCAAAAAAAAAAAAAAAAGCCAGTGAAACCAGAGACATCATGAGAAGAAAAACTACAGTCAGTCTCACTCAAACATATATGCAAAAATCCCAAACAAAATATCAGTAAACCAAATCTAGCAGTATATGAAAAAAATAATTTGTTGAGCAAACAAAGGCAAATGGCTGGACAGCACATACACATATACCAGATTTCCTGGAACATTGTATACTGAGGGGAACTCATGTAGTCAAGAGCTATGTCCCCCATTACCCACCGCCTCCTGGGGCAGCTCAAAGGGATCTAGTAGTATTAGGCACTTAGACTGCAGAGCTTTTAAAATACATGATTGGGGAAATACCAGCCCCTCCTTTGTCATGATCATGCGCTGGGGTTCAAGCCTTTATGTCTGATATAGCAGAAACTTAGCCTTCTTCCTATTTTTCCTTCTCAGCAATTAGGAGAATGCCGGCCTTCTTCTCATCCCACGTGATCAGGGTTCTGCATCCACACTTTGTGGTTACAGCTATAAGATGTGGCACTGTACCAAAACTGACTCACTGTTATGATTTCCATAGAGGCCAGACTTCAAGGAATCAATTTGAGACAAGTTAACCTTTAGTTCTTATAGAACAGTATAGCAAAATTGGATTTATTCCAAAAATACAAGACTGATTTTACATTTGAAAAATCTACTGATTCTTCATGAATGGATTACTGTAATCATCTCATTGACTGTCCCTGCCCCCTGCCTCCAGGACTAGGTCACACTGTCCTAATAACAGTGATTACAATTAAAATGAAACTATTATTTGTGTAATTATTTAGTATCTATCTCCCCAAATGGAGTATTTTTTCCATGAAGGCAGAAATTGTATCTATATTGTTAACTGTTGTAATCCCAGTATTCAGCAGTGCAACTAATAGATGGTATAGGTGGTCACTAATAATTTGTTGAATAATGGATAAATGAATGAGAAGCTGAACTAAATGGTTTGGATCCTTCCTAGACCTAATACTCTATCCTTATAGAAGGTCATTTGTTCTTTCTTCCTGTAATGATTTCTTCTGAGTATTAATTCTGCTAAGATTAGTGACTTGTAGTGATAGTTCAAGCTAATGGGAGACAGACTTTACAAAAACCATTTGGAATATTATTTATGTGTCTGTCAACAGATGGAAATACACAGCCTTATGTTCTGGCGGGAATATAGGGGAGTCCCTGACCCTTGACCAGACCAAAAGACTGTACTCCCTTAGTTTCTCAAGAATGCCGGGCTGTTGTGTGTCTTTCTTTCTTTCCACACTCATTCATTCCTTCCTCTTTTCTCTCTAACCCTATGTTATGTTAGAGAACTTTCCTCAGTGTGTGCTGGAAATCTCTGATCAAGAGGTGCTGGAATGGTATACTGCCAAAGACTTCATTGTTGGGAAACCACTCACTATCTTTGGGAGAACTTTCTTCATTTATGATTGTGATCCATTTACTCGACAGTATTACAAAGAGAAGTTTGGAATGCCAGATTTACCACGTATTGATGTGAGCAAGCCAGAACCACCTCCTGTGAAACAGGTAATGGAATAGTAGTTCTGAGTGTGATGAGAAAATTAGTTTTTTGATGTAGAGATTTAAGAAGAAGAAAAAAAGTACTCTTAAATGAATACCCAATAAAAATGGACAAACTATATGGGATAGAATAGTTCACAAAAGAAGAAATATAAATAGCCAAAAACATATGAAAAGATCCTTCTTCTAACTGATAATCAAAGACATAGGACGAAAATACTGAAGTTTTTGGATCTGTTGAGTTCTAAAAGATTCACAATATCCAGTGTTTGCCCTGTGTGAAAAAAATGGGAATTTTCATATACTGTTAATAAGAAAGCCAATCAGAATAACCTTTCTGAAGGGCACTTTGTCATCATTTAAATTTTTTTCAAAATAAAATATTGTATATGTTTTATCTAGAAAATATTCTTCAGAGACTGTAAAAAGATATGTGGAAGGATGTATATTGTAGCATTATTTACAATAAAACAAATTGTAAAGAGATTAACAAAATAAATTATAATACATTCATTCATACAATTAAAAGACTATAAGGCCTGCAAAAAAAAAAGAGGAAGTAAGTTTATGCATATTAACATGGGAAAATGTCCATAACACATTCTCAAGTGAATATGTATCTATAATATAGTCCTATGTTTATAAATTTCTATATGTAATATCTGCCTATATATACTGAGGAAAAAGACCCGGAAGGATATCAATCATATTATTAACACTGGTTAGTTTAACACATGGGAAAGGGGAAGTAGAAATGGAAAAAGGAGATGACAAGAAACCTTTATTTTTATACTCCTCTGTATGGATTTAATTTTTCTTTTTACACCAAGACATATTAATTTTTAATTTTTATTTTTTAATTTTTTAATTTTTATCAATTCTTTAATTGTGGTCAAATACACATAACATAATACTATCTTAACCATTTTTAAGTGTACAGTTCAGTGCTATCAAACAGTTCTTTTAATGCATTAGTCTCAAATTGTGTAGAAAAGAAAATATGGAGTTAAAAACCAAAGTTGTGTGGGCCGAGCCCGTGGCGCACTCGGGAGAGTGCGGCGCTGGGAGCGCAGCAGCGCTCCTGCCGCGGGTTTGGATCCTATATAGGGATGACCGGTGTGCTCACAGTGCTCACTGGCTGAGCACGATGTGGCCGGTCTCAAAAAGGACAAAAAAAAAAGAAAAAAAAAAACCAAAGTTGTGTGGGCCGAGCCCGTGGCGCACTCGGGAGAGTGCGGCGCTGGGAGCGCAGCAGCGCTCCTGCCGCGGGTTTGGATCCTATATAGGGATGACCGGTGTGCTCACAGTGCTCACTGGCTGAGCACGATGTGGCCGGTCTCAAAAAGGACAAAAAAAAAAGAAAAAAAAAAACCAAAGTTGTGTGGGCCGAGCCCGTGGCGCACTCGGGAGAGTGCGGTGCTGATAACACCAAGTCAAGGGTTAAGATCCTCTTAACCCTTGACTTGGTGTTATCAGCACCGCACTCTCCCGAGTGAGCCACGGGCCGGGCCCTAGACTAACTTTTTAAATCTATTAGTGTCTTAAATCATGTAGAAAACAAAAGTTACACACTGTTGTTACAATAATACTAATTTTTATAATTGCCCATGAGTTTGCCTTTATCAAGATCTTTATTTCTTTATATGTCTTCACGTTACTGTCTAGTGTTCTTTTATTCCATCCTGCAGGACTCCCTGGAGCATTTCTGGCAGAACAGTCCTAGTAGTAACTAACTTTCTAATTTTCTGTTTTCCTGGGAATGTCTTAATTTCTCCCTCACTTTAGAAGGACAGTTTTGCTGGATATAGTATTCTTGGTTGACAGGTTTTTTTGTTTTTTTTTTTTAGCACTCTGAATACATCAGCCCACTGCCTTCTATCCTCCAAAATTTCCAGTGAGAAATCTGCTGATAATCTATTGAGGATCCTTTGTATGTGACAAGATATTTCTTTCTTGCTGTTAAGATTCTCTCTTTGTCTTTTGAAAGTTTGATTAGAATGTGACTCAGTGTGGGTCTCTCTGAGTTCATACTTGAAGTTCACTGAGTTCCTTGGGTATTTAAATTCATGTCTTTCATCAGATTTGGGAAGTCTTCAGCCATTTATTTTTTCAAATATTTTCTTTCCCTTTCTCTTCTCTTTTCTTCTGAGACTCTCACAATGCATATGTTGGTCTGATTGGTGGTGTCCCACAAGGTGCCTTAAACTTCATTCACTTTTCTCTAATCATTTTTCTTTCTGTTCTTTAGGCTCAATAATTTCCATTATCCTAACTTCAAGCTTGCTGATTCTTTCTTCTGCCTGCTCAAATCTGCCTTTGAATCAGTCTAGTGAATTTTTCATTTCAGTTAATTGCAGTTTTCACCTCTAGAATTTCTTTTTGGTTTCTTTTTAGGTTTTCTGTCTCTTGATTGATATTTCTGTTTTGTTCTTTGGGCTTTTATTTTTAAGACAGTTATTTTAAAGTCTTTGTCTAGTATATCTTACATCAGGTCTTTTTTCAGCAACAGTCTCTGTTGATTTATTTTTTCCCCCTTAAATGGGCCATACTTTCCTAGTTCTTTGTATGCTTTGTGATTTTTTTGTTTGTTTTTGTTGAAAACTGGACATTTGAACCTAATAATGTGGTAATTCTGGAAATCAGATTCTCCCCTTCCCCAGGATTTGCTGTTTTTTGTAATTGTTTTTGTTTATACATATATTTTTAATTTTTAATTGTTGTAGGCTGTCTCTGCCTAGGATCAACTAGAGGTATAAACTTAAAATCTTCTCAGGTCTTTTCTTCTTCTTCAGTGCCTTTTCCTGGGCATACACAATCACTTTCTAATTTTATCTTATATGTAGTTGTTTTTGAGTGTCCTAGTCTTTAATGTCTGGCTCCTAAAAGAGGAAAAAGAGAAAAGTGAAAGAGGGAATAATGGAGCACTAGCTCTTTAGATCCTCTGGAATCACTTCAGCTAGAGGGGGAGAGGCTTGCACCTTTGGGGAGGTGGAACAACAATGACCAGTGGCCTCTTTGTCTGCACCTCTGTGATCAGAAGCAGTAATCTGTTATCAGAGCACAGATCCCTGATATTTAGAAGAAAGAGTCCTTTTTTGCCTATTCTGGCTCCCACAAGCTTTGTGAAGTTTGCTTGGGCTGCCTGCCACAGGTCTGGGGTATAAGATTACAGTTACCTGCTACTATGCTTAAGGTTGAAATTTATGGAAGTTAACAACAATTTACTGTCCAAGCCTTCCCCTGGAAGTTACAAGCCTTCAATAGACACTAGAGTTCCAAAATGGTTTCTTCAGACGGATTCTGCCAGTGCAACTGTTGTCTAGGTGGGGAGACACATTCCTGGTGCTTCCTACCCTGCCATCTTCCCAGAATCCTCCATTGTTTTACTGTTACAACAGTTTTGTTCATTCTGGTTAAAAACAATGAGACAACTTTTAAAATTCTACACCCCTGGGGCATTCATTATTTTTTGCTTATTTATCAAATCCTTTCACTTAAAAAGTGATTGGGAGCAAAACGAAGACTGATTAATTAAAGATGTTGGAAGATGGCTTTCTTTCATTGCAACATAGCTTGCTTCAGAACCACACTGAACCATATAATTTAGTTCTGTGTACCACAGAAGTCCACTGTGATCTGAGTAAATTCATGGCATTTTTAATGCACCAAAGTAGTAATCTGGTAAACTTGAGCCTTCAGAATCCTAGACAAGGCACCCACATATTTTATAGAGTTCCAAGTAAAAATTCCATGTTTTAAAAATTATATAATGTACAGCAAAGTCAAGGTATTAAGGTATTAAGACATGTATCATGGACTAATAGCACTGATGCTTGTTACACCTTTGGGGACAGGAATTATATCTCTCTATGTCTATTTCCTGTGTATAAAATAGGGTATTAATACTTGTGGCCCATCTTAATGTCATTGGGCTCTTTTTCCTTACTGGTCTGTTTCTGTTGCTTATGACAGAAATACCTGAAACTGGGTAATTTGTAAATAAACAATATTTATTGCTTACAATTTCAGAGGCTGGTAAGTCCAAAGTCCAGTGAACACATCTGGTGAGAGACTTGCTGGTGGGTACTGACTCTTCACTGCAACACAGGGTGTCACATGGCAAGAATGGCAGAGCAGAGAGAGAATTATTTACTCACTATTCCCCTTTTAAAGCCCTCAGAACCATGCCCATGACCACCATTAAACTATCAATGGATTAATACGTTTACTTGGGCATGGTCCTCAAATCTAATCACCTCTTCAAGTCCCCACCTTTCAATTATCATAATAGGATTTTCCATCCTCAACAGTTACAGTGGGGATTATATTTTGAGGGGACATTCAAGCCACAGCATTCTACTCCCAGCCCCCCAAAACTCTTGTCCTTTTCACATGCAGATACATTCATTTCATCCCCATAGCCCCAAGTCTTAACTTGTCCCAGCTCCAAAGTCCAAAGTCCCATCTGTGAAGTCAAAACAAGTTATCTACTTCCAAGGTGCAATGTTGGGAAAAACAGAGGGTACATATTCCCATTCAAAAAGGGGGAAATAGGCCAAAAGAAAGGGGAAACAGGTCCTAAGCCAGTCCAAAACCTAGCAGGGCAGGCATCAAATCTTTTTTTTTTTTTTTTTTAAAAGATGACCAGTAAGGGGATCTTAACCCTTGACTTGGTGTTGTCAGCACCACGCTCACCCAGTGAGCTAACCGGCCATCCCTATATGGGATCCGAACCCGTGGCCTTGGTGTTATTGGCACCGCACTCTCCCGAGTGAGCCACAGGTCGGCCCCGAGGCATCAAATCTTAAAGCTGGCAAATCATGTACCTTGACTCCATTCTTCACACACTGGTGTGGGGTTTGGACCTCCAACTCCTTAAGCAGCTCAGCTCCAATGGCTTTCCTGGTCTCAGGTGATGCTTTAGCTCTTGCAGGCTGGTGTTGCACACTGGTAGCTCTACAAGTCTGGGGTCTCCATGGTAGTTCTGCTCTCATGGCTCCACTAGA